AGTGTGTGTTTTCAAGGCCCTGGCCGTGTGTGTGTGCAGGGTCCCAGCTGTGTGTGTGTGTGCAGGGTCCCGGCCGTGTGTGTTTTCAAGGCCCCGGCCGTGTGTGTGTGCAGGGTCCCAGCTGTGTGTATGTACAGGGTCCCGGCTGTGTGTGCAGGGTCCCGGCTGTGTGTGTGTACAGGGTCCCAGCTGTGTGTGTGTGCAGGGTCCTGGCTGTGTGTGTGTGCAGGGTCCCGGCTGTGTGTGTGTGCAGGGTCTCTGCTGTGTGTCCGCCCCACCACACCAGCCCCTCTGTCCTGTTGTGACAGTGCAGATCCAAAGATCCAGCTCTGCAAAGTGGGAGGATGGAAGACCCCTGCACACTGCAGAGAAGAGGCTGTGCTGCTAATATCGGCACGTAAGTAGACCAGGGGCACAGGCCACCCTGCCTGGCCACCGAGGGGAAGGTATGACCTGGCCTCCACCAACCACGGCTGGGTGGATCTGTGCCTTTGAAACCCTCCAAACACCTGGAGGCCACACAGCTGCACTCCCACCAGGGTATCTGGGGTCCGGGTCCCACTTTTCTTCCTTCTTCAGAGGTTCGTGGTCATCATTCGGCAGGGGTTCAGCCTGGTTACAGTCTCCCAGGAGCACAGAGTGCAGGCCCAGCTCAGCGCCTTTGCCCCGTCTCTCTGGAAGACAAGCGACATCTCCATCTTTCACGGGTCTGTCTCACAGACTCTGAGCAGCAGCTCGCCTCTGCTTATAGGATCCATGTGCTGGGGCACCCACAGGCTGGGGGACCCATGTGCTGGGGGACCTGTGTGCTGGAGGAATCTGTGTGCTGGGGGATCTGTGTGCTGAGGAATCTGTGTGCTAGGGGATCTGTGTGCTAAGGGATCTGTGTGCTGGAGGAATCCATATGCTGGGGGACCCGTGTGCTGTCGGAATCTGTGTGCTGAGGTATCTGTGTGCTGGGGGATCTGTGTGCTGGGGGATCTGTGTGCTGGGGGATCTGTGTGCTGGGGGAACTGTGTGCTGGGGTATCTGTGCTGGGGGATCTGTGTGCTGGGGGATCTGTGTGGGGGAATCTGTGTACTGGGGGTACCTGGTACCTGTGTGCTGGGCGATCTGTGTGCTGGGGGGTCTGTGTGCTGGGGGACCTATGTGCTGTAGGAATCTGTGTGCTGGGGGAACCTGTGTGCTGTAGGAATCTGTGTGCTGGGGGATCTGTGTGCTGGGGGACCCGTATGTTGTAGGAATCTGTGTGCTGGGGGACCCGTATGCTGTAGGAATCTGTGTGCTGGGGGATCCATGTGCTGGGGGAACTGTGTGCTGGGGGATGTGTGCTGGGGGGATCTGTGTGCTGGGGGGATCTGTGTGCTGGGGGGATCTGTGTGTGGGGGGATCTGTGGGGGGGGATCTGTGTGCTGGGGGGTCTGTGTGCTGGGTGGATCTGTGTGGGGGGATGTGTGTGCTGGGGGGTCTGTGTGCTGGGGGGTCTGTGTGCTGGGGGATCTGTGTGGGGAGAATCTGTGTACTGGGGGTACCTGGTACCTGTGTGCTGGGGGATCTGTGTGCTGGGGGGTCTGTGTGCTGGGGGACCCATGTGCTATAGGAATCTGTGTGCTGGGGAACCCGTGTGCTGTAGGAATCTGTGTGCTGGGGGATCTGTGTGCTGGGGGACCTGTGTGCTGTAGGAATCTGTGTGCTGGGAGATCCGTGTGCTGGGGGAACTGTATGCTGGGGGATCTGTGTGGGGGGGGATTTGTGGGGGGGATTTGTGGGAGGGATCTGTGTGCTGGGGGGTCTGTGTGCTGGGGGGATCTGTGTGCTGGGGGGGTCTGTGTGCTGGGAGGCCTGTGTGCTGGGGATCTGTGTGCTGGGGGGACTGTGTGCTGGGGGGGTCTGTGTGCTGGGGGATCTGTGTGTGGGGGATCTGTGTGCTGGGGGGTCTGTGTGCTGGGGGGTCTGTGTGCTGGGGGATATGTGGGGGGGGATCTGTGTGCTGGGGGTCTGTGTGCTGGGGGATCTGTGTGGGGGGATCTGTGTGCTGGGAGGTCTGTGTGCTGGGGGGTCTGTGTGCTGGGGATCTGTGTGCTGGGGGGATCTGTTGGGGGGATCTGTGTGCTGGGGGGTTCTGTGTGCTGTGGGAATCTGTGTGCTGGGGGGATCTGTGTGCTGGGGGATCTGTGTGCTGGGGGGTCTGTGTGCTGGGGGATCTGTTTGCTCGGGGGATCTGTGTGCTGGGGGGATCTGTATGCTGGAGGGCACCCATGTGCTGAGGGGGAAGCTGTGTGCTGTGAGGGGAGGGAGCCGTGTGGTGGGGGGAGCCATGTGCTGGGAACATTCATGTGAGGTGGTTTTCCTGGCACCGCAGGAGCAATTTAAACCAGGAAGTTTGATCCAGAAATGACAACATCATACTCTTTAAGAAACTAGGCCTGGGAGGCCGGGGAAGGGGACATTCTGACGGCACCCAGGTTACCACATCCCCAACCCCAAAACATGCCACCACCAGGCACGAGGCTTCAAGGGCACCAGGAAATACCTGACTATGAGGTGTCATTGAGGGAAGGGTTCCCATCTGCATGGAGACACCAGAGCTCCAGCTGGAAATGTGCAGGAGGGGGCTCCGAGACCACACACAGCCATTAACCCCAACCATCACTTGCTCCTCACCTCCCTGGAATGGCTGCTTTGTGCAAAGGAAAGGCAGATGCTCGAGGTCACGAGCTCAAACCCACACCCAGTGGGGAAATCTGCACCATCTCCAATGGCTGAGTTGCCCAACCGAGAGATTTCAAGCTTTCCAAGAACTGACTTGGTTTCTGGTAGGAACCAGGGGCCATGGGAGATGAGGCCAGGGGAGTAGGACCCAAGACCAGGCTTCTCAGTGAGGAGCCAGGCTCGTGTCTGAGGTCCACTTGGGATGCAGCCCAGGACACAGGATCCCGGGAGCCTGTGGCAGCACCATCATTGAAAAGTTCCAATCACTCAGTTCCAGGCAGGGCTGTGGAGAGAGTGACTTCTCAGCGAGATGTGCTGAATTAATGAGCCCCTCATGCTCTTACAAAAGCACTTGTAAGGGCAGCTGGAAGTTGCTAGCATCGGAGAGACCACAGCGCCGACTGCTCAGAGGAACTCATTTAAAGGAGCCCACAGGGATTTTTTTCAGGGCAACACATACAGGATGAAATGTTTAACAGAGTCAACGGAGAATGTGCCACCCGTGGGCACCATCCCTGGAGCACGAAGCCCCTTGAGGAAGGAAGCTGTTGGGTGCCCAGAGCAGGTGGGAAATGGAATCCAATAATGTTCAGGAAGAACGGGCCTCAGGCATTCACACAGCCCTCCCTGCCTCAAAGCACCAACTGCCAAAACAGTGCCATGTGACGCTTTCTCTCCCTCCGTCGCCTTCAAAGAAAGGCTGGCCAGGCCGGGGGCTCATGCTTCTGATCCCAGCACTTTAGGAGGCTGAGGCAGGGGGATTGTGTGAGCCCAGGAGTTCTAAACCAGCCTGGGAAACATAGTGAGACCTCATCTCTACAAAAATAAAAATAAAAAATTACTCAGGCATAGCGACACACCTCTGTAGTCCCAGCGTGGGACTGACAGCACCCAGATTTCCACATCCCCAACCCCAAAACTTCCTGATGCCACCACCAGGCACAAGGCTTCAAGGGCACCAGGAAATACCTGACTATGAGGTGTCATTGAGGGAAGGGTTGTCACCTCGGGTGACCGAGGTGGGCGGATCGCTTGTGCTCAGTTCGAGGCTGCAGCGAGCTGAGACTGCGCCACTGCACTCCAGCCTGGGCAACAGAGTGAGACCCTATCACCAAAAAAGAAAAAAGATTCCAAGGTCTCTTTGGGTAGTATATTTCCTAGATGGGTCACTGGAAAAGATGCAGTTCATAGAAAGTAAATCCAACTTCTGTCCCTGCAGTGGTAAATTCAGCCCAGTCAATAAAAAGTCATGAGTCATGGTAAATTCAGCCGAGTCAATAAAAGTCCTGAGTCAGGCTGATCTGTGTTTACTTCTCAGTGGGCTGCTGTTGGGAAACTGAAGCTTTAAACCCTGAGACAGCATCTCAGGGGGGCTGAGGACCTGCCATAGCAGGGATTGCCTCACCGCTTCCTCCTGGGGTCCAAGCCCCCTCCCTTGCCTGAAAGCCCTCACTCCACAGGAGCAGGGAAGTTAGGCCAGCAGCAGCCCGGAAGTCAGAGAGCACAGGCCAGCAGCAGATTATGAACAGCTCTCCAGAAAACAGAGCACCCCCATAATCCGGCACATTGGGAGGCTGAGTCGGGAGGATCACTTGAGCCCAAGGGTTTGAGACCAGCCTGGGCAACATGGCACAACCCCATCTCTACACACACAGAAAAAAATGTGCAGGGCATGGTGGCGTGTGCCTGTAATCCAGCTACTTGGGAGGCTGAAGTGGGAGAATCACTTGAACCCAGGAGGTGGAGGCTGCAGTGAGCCAAGATCACATCACAGTACTCCAGCCTGGGTGACAGAGCAAGGCCCTATCACCAAAAGAAAAGACAAGAAAACAGCACTCTTGAAACCCACTGTCCAGGGCCATCTGCCCCATGTTCCCTCCCAACAAAGAGCTCAGACTCTGGTCTGCTTTCGTTCAATCAGATTTCTGAGAAAACAAAAACTATTGTCTCCTGACGTCCTTGTCTGGCATCTTCCAACAGAGCCACCCATAGCCAGCAGCAGCAGACCGGAAAAGGGTTTCTGACTCAGAGACCTGGGTGCTCAGATGCCCTGGACTTCAGCAGAGCCAGAGCTTTTAGCTTTGCTTCCAGTATTGGAATTCAGGACATCAGAAAACTGGGCAGATGGGCCAATCTAAATATTCTGCAATTGGTACGGATTTCAGGGCTTTCGCAGAAAGAGAGAGGTCTCTCGAGTTCACAGCCATCTCCCCAGCACCCCCACCCCGCCCTGCAGAGTCCCTGGGACTGGGGGTACAAATAAAGTTAGTTTAGTCTCAAAGCAAAGGTTTTCTTAAAATCCTCTTTAATAATACATGTACCCACATTGCTGCAATCAGTATAAAAACTGTTATTCCTGATTCGTATAAATTAACACGTTGAGAGCGAGGATAATAAAGCATCAACATACAAGTACCGAAGACAACTCACAGTGAAGAGACACGCGCGAGAACAAGACACATTAAGCTGTAGGATGTGGGAACAGCCCACGGTGCTGAAAGGGTCAGAGGCGCAGGTGCAGACGTGGGCTTCTCTTCTGCCTGTGCGAGGGTGAGGGGCTGTGGGAGGCTGGCTGAGAAGGACCAGTGCCGGGCAGCAGGGCAGAGTACGCCAGGGGTCTTGGCTCTGCAGATGGGGCTTTGCAGAGGATTCCCGTTCCCCACCTCCCCAGCCCTCTGACAGAGACTGAGGAGACTACACACGTCAACCTCCTCTTCAGGCCGAGCTGCCATTTCCACTCCATTCTACTAAGTGTGTTGTTCTGTAAAATAATTCCCCAGTGTTCCTCGCCCCTTTCAGACCACAGCTTGCCTGCTCAGACCCCTTTCCACACGCACAGTCTGAGTCTGGCGGGCCCTCAAAAGTCAGGCACAACACCCAGATCTGGTCCTCTTGGGTGGCTTATGGCTGGATATGTCCACCGTGTGTGACGGCCTCTCAGCTCTCTGCCGTAAGATCATTGGCACCACCAGGTCAAACAGGGTCTCAAACAGGAGGTCCACATTGTAGCCCGTCTTGGCACTGGTCTCAAAGCACATCTGCTCAGCGGCCGGCATGTCCTGCTCATCCAGCATCTTGTACCTCAGGATCTTTTTATAAAGGGCCACCGCGTCCTCCAGATGCACCTGCTTAGGCACCCTGGGGGGGAGACAGCCCCCGCTGTCCAAATTGGGACTGCACTCTCCCTTCTCCTGGCCCTCCAAGGGCCCCTCCTCAGTTAGGTCCACTTTGTTCCCCACGATGGCGAAGAGGCAGTCTTTGCTGGCTGTCTCCGTCAGGCCCAGGAAGCGTTCCTCCAGCTCCACCAGGCTCTGCGGGTGATTCACATCATAGGTGAGGATGATGGCAGCCGCTCCCCGGCAGTACATGGAGCCCAGGCCGTGGAACTGCTCCCGCCCTGGTGGGTAAAGAGGGACAGAAAGATCGGTTATCTCTCATCTCAAAACACAGCCACCAGCCACACTGCTCAGGAACATCCCCAGCACTCCAGCCTCACAAGGTCCACACAGCACACACGCTTTCCACGAGTAGACAGAAGAGTGGGCCAGTCAGGCACAGCAGCGCTCCAGGGAGGCTGGGCCGGGGCACTGGAACCCCCACCTCCTTGCTGCATATAAATGCAAAACCCCCAAAATGGATGGCTAAAAAAGAGGATTAAAACATCCGGGTCTCTGCGTACTTTTACAATGCAGTCATCTAATCAAATCAACTCTCCCCTCAGGTAACCCGCACACCCACAGTGCCCTTTCCCGACATCTGCGCAGGGCCACCTTTCTATCCCAGCAACAGTGCACAGACCCCCAGGGGGCCCACTCACCTCCCCACTGGCAGGCAGCTCCCTGCCCGTCCACTTAAGGCAAGTGGGAGCTACCTGGGAACGTTCTGGCGGAATTCTGCAACCACGGCCTGTATGCAGCACAAGCTTTCTGCTGACTCAGATTTGGAGGACAGACTCTCACAGGGGAGCAGACCTGGTCACGGCCGGTCGGTGTTCCTGGGACAGGTGCAGTGCATGCAGCAGGTGAGAGTCCCCGGCAGGGAGGGCTGTGCCCAGCAGGCTGCAGGGGTTTCCTTTGGGCCTTGGCATGCTATTCCTCATTGGCACATCTGCCATGTTGGGGAGATGAGCTCTCAGGAAGCAGCTGTGTGAGAGGCAGCAGCATGCAGCATGCACCATGCCCCCCCGCCACCGCCTCTGCATGGCACAGGCCCTCCCTGCTGGTAGTAAAGGCTTCTGGTGACAGATCTGTTTCAATCATCAATGAGCAAACCCCAAGTGAGATCTTCCAATCACAAAGCACCTGCTCCCCACTACACCTTCCAGGGGCACTCTTTCGAAGAGGAGGAGACCTGTGCTCAGACGCCACCCCAAGAAGCCTCTGCAAACAGCCCTGGAGGCTCCCATAGCGCCCCCTGCAGGCCAGCTCCTCCCCTCCTCCCTGGGCAAGTGTGGCCTCCCGGGACATGCCCTTAGACCAAGAGGAGGGACAGCCAGGAACGACTGACCAACAGCACCAGCCTCCACTCTTGAGCCCAGAACGCAAGGTCAAATGCCCCGGCCAGTGGGCGACGACGCGGAGAGAGGCAGCACCCAGGGAGTGTCCAGGGCCCATTCCAATCCCTCCCCGGGGAAAGGCAAGCCTGGTTCTGATTTTTTTAAAAGAAGCTAACAATGTGGGTTTAATGAGCAATTGCCCAAGTTGTAAAATGTTCAAAACTAATTCAAAATCTTCTAAAGATCACGTTTAGGCAAACACAAAATGCAACAGTGGCCCATCATTGGCAGCCTCTAAATTCTAAATGGTCCCATGTCACTCTGAGGGCAACTCCCCCAAGGGTGTGGACAGCGCTGACCAGTAGCAAGGTCTTCATCACTGGGTCATAAACCAATTTCGCAGGGTCCACGACCTTGAACAGGGGAGAAAATGTCATCTTTGTTTTCACCACCCTCTGCCTGAGATTTACCATTTCCTTCCGTTATAAATGCTGGCAGCAAACTGCAGAAACGGCGATGAGGGGCACTCACCACCAGCAGGGCCAGCAGATGCTTCCATCTGCACGCCAGCTGCTTCAGACACCCCAGTGCGAGGCGCACGATCCTTCAAGATCGCCACCACCCTAAGGCCTGCCACGCCCTCATTCATTAACATGTGGACGATGAACCACATATGATAATTTTAAAAGGCTTTGGAGGACTGTACTTCAGGACATCTGGTTACCTTTGTATGTGACCGCATGCGCCCAGGCGCAGTGTTCTCAGAAGGGGTCCGGGGCGCATACCCTTCGGGGGCCGAGAGGGTCTTGACACGAAAGAATTTAAGGACCCTGGACTGTGGGCGTTTGGAGCGTGGACTGAATGCATGACACCTGCACACGTGCGGTTCTTTAAGGCAGACTGTCCTTTGCCAATAAACCACTGTTTAAAGCCAAATAGCCAAGAAACACAACCAAATTTCACCCCATTTCCACCTCAATCTTTCTAAAATGGCCACATTCTGATGACACCAAGTCCTCAAGCCTTGCTGGGAGACACCGCCTGGATTTTGAGGCAGTCTGGTCACCCCTTGGGCAACCCTGGAGAGAGGAGCCCACAGAAACACACACTCATGTCCTGTGAGAACAGCCAGACAGACCTGTCTACTGCCTGGTGTGGTCTCCCAGGCCCCGAGCCTGGCTCCAGCTCCCCCTCCAGCAAAGCCTCAGTGTGCCTTCAGGAATGTGGAGGGAAAGTGAGCTGGGAGCTGAGCCAGACTGGCTCTGGTAGGAGTCGGAAGAATGTGCCCTGCTGCCAGTCTGAGGGTCAAAGTGTCAGGGCTACCCAGGTCACCTCCCTCTTCTGGGAAAAGCCGGCCTGGGAATGCCACAGTTTGGGCGATGGAGCCACCCTGTTGGCAAGCAGCTTGTGCCCTGGAATTCAGCACCTGAAGGGCAACATTCCTCCCTTCCACACGCCTACTACAGGTCAGCTTCAGACTGAAAATTCAATCAGCTTCCAGTCGAGCTGGGCAGAAATCAAACAGTGTCCCCCAAACTCAGTCATTTGCCCACTATGGAAGATGATGATGAAGAACCTTTAAAACCCGACATAAAAACTGGCAATAGCAGGCATCAGCTTAAAAAGAAAAGGCTCGGGCAGGAGGATTGCTTGAGGCCAGGAACTGGAGACCAGCCTGGGCAACACAGCAAGGCTCCCATCTCTACTGATTACTTTTAAATTAGCCAGGCATGGTGACGCATTTCCGTAGTCCCAGCTACTCAGGAGGCTGAGGAGGGAAGGTCGCTTGTGCCAAGGAGTTTGAGGCTGCAGTGAGCTATGATCACGCCACCTCACTCCAGCCTGGGCAACAGAGTGAGACCCCATCTCTAAAATAAATTTAACATGGTAATAATCAAGAAAAGAAAGAAAAATGTCATAGGTAACAGTCCAGGCATCACGAGGTTTTGACAGGAGCTAAAAATGTCATCAGCTTCTACCCACCAGATTTCACAAGAGTGTGACTATGGGAACCCGGCGTCAGGGACGTTCCAGCTACCCTGGAAGAACTTTTTTCAAGTCTCTGTGACAGTTAACTTGGGCCGAAGGGAGAACTGTTTTGATGCCTATGCCTAAAATAGCTTCCCGTTCCAGATAAAAATGTCTGATTTGCCTTTAAAAAGCTAAAAAAGGAAATAATAATACAAAAGGAAAGATCTTAGTAAGCAAAGGAAGTAGGAACTGAAGAATCACAAACGCTAGCCAGAAGAAAGTAAATCAAAAGTGTTGCTTGAACCCTGTAATCTGCCATCTACCCATTAATATAATATAATATACCCAGTTAAATGCAGGTGCCCCAGCTAAAGAATTTACAAGCAAGCAGTTTTCATATTTGCAATTCTAAAACACAATTTTGGAGATAATGTATAGCTTTTAGGATTGCTACTGGACTATTCAGGCTGCTCTAAATGAGCCTATTGTCCACACTGAGAAGGGCCAGAAGTCCTGAATTTAATCTTGATTGAACTGAAGTAGGGGTGCTGGCGTTTCGGGCATGACAGCCAACATAAGACAATGAAGGCTACATGGTGTCACTACGACTTGACTTTTGCACTTGGCTTTGACAAATTCACAGTGTATTTGAATCCAAGGGCCCTCATACGTTTTCTGGTGGTTTGTGAATGTGCTGTGTGCCCGCCCGGCAGCCCCCTGCTGCTAACCCCACACACATGTCAGCCCCTGGACCTCTCAGAATGTTGATTTCCTGTCTACAATTACAGCCTTAAACTGGGTCTTTCACAAGTCCCTCTCCCTGGAAACAGGATGAGCCATCTCTCCTGCCTTCTCCCCCAGACGGGAGTCCCTCAGTACCGATCCTGAAGCCAAAGTGCTAAGAATTCTGGTAGTTTCCTTGGACTTTGCTGGAGACATCAACAGCCTCAGGTCCAACTCTGGGGATGCCAGAGCCCCAGGCTGACCCAGAAACAGGTCAAAAGAGAAACATCACAAGCTGGTTCAAATTCAACCAATACAGCCAAAGGTCAGTAAGCTGCCAGCCCTAGTCTGGTGAACGGAGCCAGGCTGCCGAGAACACGGGCCTCCCAGGCCAGCCCAGCCCATCATCAGGCCTGGAGACAGGGGTTGGAGCCGGAGGAGGGAGCCCAGCCTCCTGCCAGACTCTGCCTCTTAGCCTGGTCTGTCTTCCTGCCAAGCAGGTGGGAGGACGTGAGTGACTGGAGCCCAGGGCTCTAGGTTAGACTTGGCCAGGAATTATGACTCATTTATGTAGCAAATCGAGAGGTGATCTGCTAAGCTTTATGCCACCAACACATACAGACGAAGACGTCAGTCACCCCTGGTGGAGAGGGAACCCTCAATCTGCAAGGGTGCCTTCAACATCTGACAGCCACACTGTCGAACAAACTGTTGAAACGCAGCCAAACTGACCAGGACTTTCGCCAGTGAGTCCAGAGTGGCCAGAGAGGAAGACCCCCTGCCTACTGCAGACAGCCCTGGGGAGGGAGGTCTCACCCACCTCATCTCTACACAGACACGGGCCGTGGGAAGGCAGGTTTCACCCACCCCACCTCTACACAGACACAGCCCTGGGCAGGCAGGTCTCACCCGCCCCACCTCTACACAGACATGGCCCTGGGGAGGGAGGTCTCACCCGCCCCACCTCTACACAGACACAGCCCTGGGGAGGGAGGTCTCACCCGCCCCACCTCTACACTGACACAGGCCCTGGGCAGGCAGGTCTCACCCACCCCACCTCTACACAGACACGGGGCCCGGGGCAGGCAGGTCTCACCCGCCCCACCTCTACACAGACACGGCCCTGGGCAGGCAGGTCTCACCCGCCCCACCTCTACACAGACACGGCCCTGGGCAGGCAGGTCTCACCCGCCTCACCTCTACACAGA